CGCAAACATCCCAGCCCAGCCAGATACGCGCTCTGGTGTTAGGAGTGTGGGCTGGATGCCGTTAGTTCTTCCCAGATCCTTGTTGAAACATATATAAGTTCGATCCCTTAGCGAAATAAACAGCATCTTGTACAGATAGCTTGAGCGCTTAAATCAGTCACAGCAGCCCCCCCAGAACCACTCACCGACTGCAGGAGAGTGAAGAAGCGCGATGGGAGACTCTCCCCGAAAAAAACAATGTCTGGCGGGGGGGAGGGAGCAGGAGGTGAGTGGAGGGGCTGAGGGGAAGCCCCACGCACTCCCTCAGGCATGGAGGGGGACGCACGGCCATCCGTGCCCCCCCCTTCCCCGCCACTCACCGGGTTTCACCACGCTCTGGCACTTCTCGCATTTGGGGACAAGGGATGAAAATATCCTTTCTGGAAAAGACGGGGATGGGAGAACTCAGTGGGGGGGGAGGCACAGGGATGGGGACAGAGGGATGGCGGGGACAGAGGGATGGCGGGGACGGAGGGACACGGAGGGGGGAAAACTGGGGCAGAACAGGCTCCTGTTAGGACCCCATCCTGGAGCACAGGGACCCCTTGCCCACCCTGGAGCCGTCCCCTTGCCCAGCCCAGTGACATGCCCCCCCCCCCAGCCTCAATGGCACCCCGGGGCGGCCCCCCCCCCCCCCCCAGACCCCCCCTCCCGCCGTACCCTTCATCCACTGGAGGTTGTAGGGCTGCCGGCAGGAGGGCCGCAGGCAGTGGGAGGTGAAGAAGGTGCCATGAGCCTCCACCAGCAGTTCGGGGTCCAGCCCTGCCACCCGCTCCAGCGTGTCGATGTTCTGCCAGGGTGCGGGGTGGCAGGGGAGTCAGGGGTGCCCTGACACCCCCACTGGACCCCACCGACCCCAAACTACCCCCCCACGCCAGGGCTGACGGCTGGGTGTCCCTACCTGGGTGTAGCAGCGCAGCAGCAGTCCCTTCTCCTGCAGCAGCCGCATGAAGTAGTGACACACTGTGGGCTGGGGGGGGACATGACACAGAGTGAGGGATCAGTTTGGGGGGGCAGCAGGGTGGGGGAAGCTCCCCAGGGCTTTTTTATTGGGGCGGGGGGGAACAACAATGAGGGGAAACTGAGACTGGGGAGGGTCTTACCTTGAACTGCCCTGGGTAGAGCTCCCGCGCCAGGGCAAAGAAGGGCTCAGGGTGTTGCTGGGGGCGGGGAGAGGTGGCTCTCAAGGGATTGTGGGGGGGTCTCTGAGCCCTCCAGGAGGAGCAGGACCCCCCTCAGCAGGACCAGGACCCCCCCCAAAAGCAGGGGATGAGGGGGGCTACCTTGAAGAAGCTGATCTCGAAGATGGCCTCGGGGTAGGGCAGGTGGTAGCTCTGCAGGTTGGCGTAAAGCCCCGTGCCGGGTGAGCGGAAATCGGGAATCCCGGCGGTGGTGTGGGGGGGGGGGGGTGACGGGGTGCGGGGGGCGCATCAGGCTCCCCCCGTGGTGCCA